AAAAAAAATAATAATAAAGTACACAATATAGTGGCTTTAAAAAAAAAAAGAACAGGCCACTTCCAACCGTGGGTCATGAAACTTATTTCTAAGTCACATTTGAATTTGTCTTGTTTTTTTTTCTGTGAAGGAAGCTGAGCACTTTTTGCTGGTTTTTAAAACTACAAACCTCCCCAGTGGTTCTTTGCACTACTGGGCTGTTGGGTTATTTTTCTTGTTTTTGTAAGAGCTCTTTAGATGCACAGGCAGAAACCCGGGGAAGTCCCAGATGCTGTTTTGCAGGACACCTGTGATGTTCCTTAGTGTATGTTAGTGGAGATGTGGCTAAACTTCAAAAAACTTGCCTAATGGATTTTGTTAATGTTTGTGTTTTCTGACAAACTCCTAGTTAACCTGCTTGTCTTTTCTCAGGATCGCCCTAGTTAAATGCCACCCTATCAAGTGGCTCTGTGATGTGAGCCATTTTCAGGAAATAACCATTTGGTCAGGGTGTGGGCATAAGGGCCAGCCCTCCAGCAATCCTCTTGGACCATGAGGAAGACAAGCAACACTGTGGGAGGACCTTTGGTACCTTGACCCGGTAAGTGCTCTCACCCCTGGGCCTTACCCACTTCCTCAAAACTAGAATATGTCAAGTCACCAGGCTGTGGTCAGGGGCTGCCCTGTTAGATGGGACTTAACTAAAGCAGGGCCTGAAGGGGGCAGGGCATTGTAGAGACTGCTGGGGACATCCCTGCCCTCTTTAGTGTGACAGGCGGTAGGGTTGCTGGCTGGAGACGTAGCCAGTGAGGAGGGAAGCCTTCCCCACGGCCATGAGTGGGGCTGGCCAGGGCGGGCATGGAAGGGTGGCTGGGGCCCAAGGAGGAGCAGGGGGAAGGTCCAGGGACCCCCTTCACCTCTTGGTATTGAGGCTCTTCAGAGCCCTGTTCTTGGGTGCCAAAGTGCCAGGTGTCGGGCGTGGACAGGGCTGGGGAATGTAGGAGATGGGTGTGAGCCTCCATTCCTGAGCCAGGGCAATGCCAAGAGCAGGTGGGATAAGCAGGGGCACAGGAGAGCCCAGACCCACGTCCTGAAGCCCAGGGACAGAATCCTGGAGACAAACCTGTGGGGATTATCACTATCTCACAGAACTTTGAGCTGTCACCCTTGGCCTCTGCCACATCTTCAGGGAACCCTGGGGTGCCTGAGGCAGGCAGCACCCAAGCCCCCTACACCCCACCCCCCTACACCCCACCGTCTGCAGCTGCCCATGGTCCCTGCCGGCTGGCTCCTGACTTGGGGCCGCCCACCCTGTGGACGTGGTCTCTGTGCATCTTGCTTGTCCTGCCTTCCCTCCACGTCCCCACCACCACAAGAGAGTGCCCCGCCCGCCCTGCAGCCTCCCCCCAGGATTCCAGAACATGTCCAAATCCAGCCTGCAGCTCCATCTTGGATATGGTCACTTGCCCCAGACTCAAGTGGCTCCCCAGCACTGTCCTTATGGCCCAGGGGCACAGTGGCCTCCCTGCTTGCTTCTTCCCACAGCAGGTGCTGCTCCTGGAGCCCCCTCCCCAGGCCTCCAGCAGGCACACCCTGCAGGTCTCCACCGGGAGGGACCCCCAGGACCCCCAGGACCCCCAGGCTGTCTCCACCTCTCACCTCACCTCCTGAAATGACTGCTGACTGGGTCAGCGTCAGGAGGCAGCACAAGGGCAGGCCCTCCTGGGTGCTGCTGGGTCACAGCGCCTGACACCCTGCACACAGTAGGTGCTCAATGAACCAGTTTCACAGCCCAAGCCTGGTGCACGCAGGATCACCCTGGTGGAGGGACAGGCCAGCAGGCAGCAGCTGCCTGTGTGACAGCATGGCGTGAAGGCCTGAGAAGACTGTCCAGGGGCAGGTGGGACCTCTGGGGGGTGCTGGACCCTGCCAGGTGGCATGTGCAGGCCACAGGATGCCACCAGGGGGCGACAGAAGCTGGAGAAGAGGACAGTAATCTGAGGGAATTGAGCTCTCAGAGTGAGGTCCCAGCAGGACCTCAACCCAGAGACCCCAGGTCCACCAGGAAGGGCGCTGAGATGACAGCGCCTAGGGACCGTGGCTACATGACCCTAGGCAGCAGACCTCCAACCCTGAGCTCCTGTCCCTCCTCCGTGCGGTGGGCACAGTGGAGACCCCCAGATCCCCCCTCCTTCCTCCATAGTCAAGGTGCTTCTGAACCCAGTTCCGGGGACTGTCTCACAAAAAAGGTGACCTCGTGGAGAGTGTGGGGAGCAGGGCGTGTCCAGTGGCCACAGAAAGGAGAAGAGAGCTCACAACCGCTTCTCCCCAGGGGCTGTGGGGGGGGGGGACAGAACATAGGACAGGAATAATGAGGGAGAGGGACAGGCTGGAAAGGGGAGGAGTCCTCTTGTCCTTCTGGGCAGAGGTGCAGGTCTTCCAGGAACTGGGTTGCACCTCCGGTCACTCCTTTCTTGGTCTGCTGTTTGGGTCGAGGTGGCTGGTGGGTGTGCTTAGCCCTTAAAGGGGGCGGGGAGGGGCAGAGAGAGCCCCGGAGTCCAGTCGTTGACCCCATGGGAGAGTTTTGGACAAAACTCAAACCAGCCACATGTCTCTATGCAGAGTGGCGTTGCACCTGCTCCTTAAGTTAAAGGAGACACAGACAATGTGGAGGCAGGGAGGCCGGGCCTCCCACCGGTTCCAGCCAGCCACCACACTCCTGTGGGCCCAAAAGAAGAGTTGGTGTTTGCAGCAAGTGACCTTCCAGTCCCTAAAGGCAACTGTTATCATCGTGACCCACAGATCAGAGTTGTGATCTGCAGCAAAGCCAGAGAGGGACCAGAGATGTCCTGTCCAGCCATGTGACCTCCACGGCCAGTGCTTTTTAAGTCAATTAAGAGCAAATGAAGGGCTGGGGTGGCTCAGTGGCCAAGCGCTTGCTAGCTCGTGTGGGGCACTGGGCTGGATTCTTGGCACCACATTACATAAAGAAATAAAGGTCCATCAACAGCTGATTCGAATGTATTTTTTTAAAGAGCAAGCGAAGCTGGAGGGATTATTTAGGGCCTCCTCAGTAGCAGCGGGTCTTAAGGACTGAGGTCGGCAGCCACAGCAGTCACCCCACGACCTCTCGTCCACTTTCCGCCTGGGCCCGGGATGACTCGCTGCTCGGTTGCTGAAGGAGGCAGTGAGTGGGAGATAATGGACTCCAGGTGACCGGACCGAGCACCCTTCGGCCTGGCAGCGTTACCAGGCTCAATTCATTCCTCGGGGGCTATTTTTTCCCCGTTTACAGATGGGGAACGGGAGCCCAGGGAATGCTGCTCTTCCTAGAGAAAGAGCAAAGAATCCCCCAAGGACGCAACTTGAGCCCTGAATACCTCCCGCCCAGGTGCCCAGAGGGCAGGGGCTGACGATGTCCTTTCCCAGAGGCTGCGGGGAAACAGTAGATCTAGATACTAGTTGGGGTGAGCGGCTGAAGCTCAGCGGTTTTCCCTATGGCGCCCACAAAACCCTGAAGTGAAACCTCGACCTGTGGGACAACGGGCGCGTGGGGACTTTGAGTGCTTGAAGCAGGCTGCGTGGCCTTGGGCAAATGGCAGGCCCCCTCTGTCTTTCCCTACTGTCCACCGCTGGTATGGACAGGCAGGGGTCAGGGAAAAGTTCCAAAGGAAGCGGAGGGAGTGGAGTTTTGGGGAGGACCGCGCGCCCCCGCCCCCAGCAGACACCACGTGGCCTTTCTCAGCTTGTTTGCCCCAGACCCGAAAGGGTGCGGGTCGGGCCGCCTCAGCCAGGTCTGGGGCGGAGCCACTCTGACCCCTGAGCCCAATAAATCCGCAGCCCACAACCTCGAACTGTTTCTTTAAGCCCCACCGCGACCTCCCGCTGTCAGTGGAGCGCAGCGCCCGGGGAGGGGGTCCGACTGGCCAGCTGCTCCCACGCAGCTGGGTCGGGCAGCTGGCCCCAGAGTGCGGGCTGAAGTGGACAGATAGACGGAGGCGCAGAGGGACAAACCGCGAGGACCCGCAGACCCCCGGCCCAGGGAGCCCCTGCCCCTCCTGCTGCTGTCACCCCACACGGAGGGGGACAGGCTGGGACTCCCCTGCAGGGCCCCTGCCTCCTCCACCGCCCACACCGGTGCAGCTCCTGGCCCAGGACACCGTGGCCGTCATGGAGGTCACTGAGGCAGCAGCGCGGGCCACGTTCGGAGCCTGGGACTACGGGGTCTTCGCCCTCATGCTGCTCGTGTCCACCGGCATTGGGCTCTGGGTCGGGCTGGCTCGGGGCGGGCAGCGCAGCGCCGAGGACTTCTTCACCGGGGGCCGCAGCCTGACGGCCCTGCCGGTGGGCCTGTCCCTGGCCGCCAGCTTCATGTCGGCCGTGCAGGTGCTGGGCGTGCCCGCCGAGGCCTACCGCTACGGCCTCAAGTTCCTCTGGATGTGCCTGGGCCAGATGCTCAACTCGCTGCTCACCGCGCTGCTCTTCATGCCCGTCTTCTACCGCCTCGGCCTCACCAGCACCTACCAGGTACCCGGAGAGGACCTGCCTGACTGGGAACCCGGGGCCAGGGCTGGGGGCCCTGGGCTGCGAGCTCCTGTGCTGCGGGAGGCAGATCCGCTCCTGTCGCTTGGTGGGGCCCCGGGCAGACCTGCAGGAAGGTTCTGGGAAGAGCCCCAGGCAGTGGTGCGAGGGGCAGGAAGGAGGAAGCGAAGAGGGTGTCCTGGTTCCTTGGTGCGGGCGCACGAGGGCGGTGCAGCCTCAGCCCCAAGTGTACTCACGTGTGGGCAGGCACACACCTGTCCCCAACAAGTCCGCACTTTCATACTTATGCACTCCAGAGGGGACGACCCCCGGCTCTGGGTCCAAAACCCGGCTTAACTCTTGACCTCTACCTTGAGCAAGGGCGCTTCTCTGCTCGGGCTTTCTACCTGTCCCCTTGCCGTTGATATGATTCCCCTCCTCCGCCCCGGGACCGAGAATAAAGCGGTAATCGTGTCTGGTATTCAGTAGCTCCAATGCCATTGGCCACCGGCACTACATTGTGCTTTGTCGCACTTCGCTGTAAGGGCGACCCCAGCGGTCAGACATGAGTGGGAGGACAGGTGTGCAAGTACAGATCGCTCCTCCAGGGCACACGTCCTGTGCAGGGCACCGAGATGGCACGTGTGCGCGGACAGATCTGGGTGTGCGCGGGGCAAAAGTAGGGCCAGCGCAGTTAGCCTCCGGAGGGAGGGTCCAAACCGAGAGGCCGGGCAGGGACCCCAGATTCCTCGGGACTGTCCTGGTGACCACAAGCCCTCGGCTCCTTCTTGCAGTACCTGGAGCTGCGATTCAGCCGCGTGGTGCGGCTCTGCGGGACGGTGCAGTACCTGGTGGCTACAGTGAGTGGCCTCCGCCCGCCTTCAACCCAGCGACCCCGTAGGCTCCAACCTTAGCGCGCAGCGCGCACAGCCGGTCCCCAGCTCCCGGGACCCTCCCGAATCCAGCGCAGCCCCAGGCCCCGCCCACAGAGCGATTTAGCTCCGCCTCATAGGCCCCTCCCACCCACCCACAGGACCCCGCCCGCACCCC